ACTTGTCCGAAGTGGCCAAACAATGTGCGGCCGTTTCGCCCAAAGGTCTCAAACCTCTGGAAGTGTTGGCAGACGTGAGTAAAGACGTCGACTGTAAACGACTGATTGACAGTACGATCAGTGCATTCAAACGGTTGGATATTTTGGTGAACAACGCGGGCAGAGGTATGCGCTGTTCAATCGCTGATACGGCTATTCTCGACAAATACCAGGAAGTGATGGACACAAACCTGCGTTCAGTCATATATTTAACACATCTATCGGTCGAACACTTGGAGAAAAGTAAAGGCAATATAATTAACATATCAAGTATTGCGGGACTTAAACCTTTTGTATGACATTAAATTTACATTTATGTATTAAGAAATTAACCTATTTATGATTTATAATTAATGATGATGTTTTTCAACAAAACAGTCGCCTCAATCGATTCTGTATTCTATGTCAAAGTGTGCACTCGATATGTTCACCAAATGTCTGGCCCTAGAGTTGGGCCCAAAAGGCATTCGGGTTAATGTTATCAAGTAATTAATCATTAATTTAATTTCTAATTGATTTACTAATAATCTATTATATCCTATACGTGTAATGTGTAGTCCGGGTGCCGTTAGGACTAACTTCCTTCAGGTTTTGGGCTCAACGAAAGAGCAATTGGAGGCCCGATATAATGAATTTGAGGACAAATATCCGGTCGGACGGGTCGGTGAGTCCATAGACATCGCGAACGCCATACTCTTCTTGGTCTCAGACGAGGCCTCGTTTGTGACGGGAATCAACTTTGTGTCCGACGGCGGGGCTCTCAACGCCCCCTTATAAGTGTCTATATTACCAGTAAATGCTTGTATTGATTGTTTTATATAAATGATACAAAATCTATAACAATACTTATATAATTCAATACAAAACATATGATATATTTAAATAATTGAATAATTGCAATTTGTATAAAAAATGTTATTAAAATAAGATATAATAACATAATATCTAGAAATTAATTAAAATTATCATTTCAATAGTTATTTGATTTATTCTTGAAATAAATTCACTTGAATTTTAAACTTTATTAAAAAATTTATTCCCATTTTTATGTTAAACACAAACACTGCCGACAATTACACACAGAATATTCAGTACTATTATACTGTTTTATTGATGAACTTCTACATAATGAAATAAATTAACTATTTAAGTTAAATGTAGCTCATAATGAGATAAATTAATGGCCTATGATTATGAATCTAAATTTTTAAATTTTAATAATAAAAATATGCAAATAGATAAATTGTTATAATTAGTGCAAAGTATCAATACAAGATTGTTGAATGCATGAAATCAAAAATTTATATGACCTTGGTTAGATCAGTTTACGTCTAAACAACCTAACACCCAACACAACAGTTACCTTCAATATAAGAAGTAATTAAAATATAGTGCATTTTAAGTCTATGAAAGCCATTATAGCTATTATACTAAACAATCTGCTGTGTATTTTAGTTGGTATAAAAATTTCTTAAAGTATTTGATTGTTACAAACTATTTAATTTAAATCAATCGCACTTAACATAATGTCCACATCGAAAAATTTTGCGGATAAAGTAGTGCTGATCACCGGTTCGAGCGGTGGTATCGGCGCCGTCACTGCCGTAGAGTTCGCCAGATATGGGGCTCAAGTGGTGATCACCGGTCGTAATGCCGACAACTTGTCAGAAGTGGCCAAACAATGTGCGGCCGTTTCGCCCAAAGGCTTGAAACCACTGGAAGTGTTGGCAGACGTGAGTAAAGACGTCGACTGTAAGCGACTGATTGACAGTACGATCAGTGCATTCAAACGGTTGGATATTTTGGTCAACAACGCGGGAAAAGGAGTTTTTTCTTCGATCACTGATCCGTCTGTTCTCGACAAATACGGGGAAGTGATGGACACAAACCTGCGTTCAGTCGTCTATTTAACACATCTATCGGTCGAACACTTGGAGAAAACTAAAGGCAATATAATTAACATATCGAGTGTTGCGGGACTTAAACCGGTAAATGATTTGTGATTAAGTTTAAATTTATATATTAAATTAATAAACTAATTATACATTTATATTATATTTAATAATGGTTTTTATAAAACAGTTTGGCAGAGCGTTTCTGTACTGTATGTCAAAGTGTGCACTCGATATGTTCACCAAATGTCTGGCCCTAGAGTTGGGCCCAAAAGGCATTCGCGTTAATGTTATCAAGTAATCATTCATTTGTTTTATTGTTTATTCAATAGTAATTAACATATTGTGTTTATTGTGTAGTCCGGCAGCCGTTAGGACTAATTTCCTTCAAGTCGTGGGCTTAACGAAAGAGCAATCGGAGGCCCGATATAGTGAAATGGACGGCAAATACCCGGTCGGACGGGTCGGTGAGTCCATAGACATCGCGAACGCCATACTCTTCTTGGCCTCAGACGAGGCCTCGTTTGTGACGGGAATTAACTTTGTGTCCGACGGCGGGGCTCTCAACGCCCCCTTATAAGTGTCTACAGTTATCACTAATAAATAATTATTGTGTTTTCGATTATTGATATTATCAATTTGTAAAAGACTAATGTATTAATATTTTATTTAAATTCTTTATAAGACTACAAAACATAATAAGTATTTGATGTAATACTATATTACTACTTTACAATTAATGCAAATAATGTAATACAAAATTTATTATTTATGAAATGTAATTAATATTTTTCATATTCTACTTTAAAAGTAGCATTTCAGTGTTTAAATTTAAATACAAATATCGAGTCTAAAATGTTAAATCAGATGTAAATATTGTACTATGCATTCTAGTGTGTAATGCAATGTATTATTCTATTCTAACATTGGTTTCCAATTTTTATTTTGTGTTTAAATCATAATGATGAAATTAACAATAAGCTTAATTATTAAATACTTTATTATGATTAGAAGTTATAAATAATAACATGCGAATTGATCAAATGACTTTTTCATGGACCGTAATTTAATAACATAATTTAGCCGACACTTTTTAATTATTAATTTTATGTGGAACTCTATTTATTAATATCTGTCATGAGTGACCTCCCAATTAACAATGCTATTCAATGGGAATCCATATTTTTGATAAATAAAAATGACTGTCAATATTTTAACTAGCATGATCAAATGTAATTATATCGAATTATTATTTTATTTATTCAATCTTTGTAAGTAAAACACTTTAGCACATTTTATTATCTCAATTTCTAAAGGTCATTGTGCCCATTTCGGGGGTCAACCTCTTTGGGAGGGGAATATTCCGGAAGCAAAAGAGATACAGACAACAATGAATGGCATTCTATTATAGATCAATAAATATATTCTCATATTAATCCAATAATTTACAAAAATGTTGCTAAAGTCATTAAATTACGGTCCATTAAAAAATCCATATTATGCATGCAATGGTTATGTTGACATTTTAATCGCGATCACTGATGGTTTAACTTTTAAAAATATTTTCAGTCTATTTTTATCCCACTTTAAGGAAAGGAAATAATTTATGAGAAAATATTTGTAAGAATTAACTCAACAATTCATTTATAAATTGATTGACACATGTTTTGAAGAATTAAAAATACTTTTAATTTAATTGAAAATTATTTAATGTCCGCTTTTTAATCACAATTTAATATAAAAATTCCGGTCTATAAGATGGTGACGCCACCCCTCTTCCTCCCCTCGCATCTACAGAATTACTTAAATCAATACAACTATTAGAATACAGTTTATTATATAGGGTTACAAGGAATTATTCTATTTGCATAATCTATTACTGGATTCGCTATAACCTAATATAAACTAGACAATATTATAGCTATCGAAATCACCATGGTTGCGTTCATTTTTCAATAAGTTTATGCTCTCCATATGGGGCATACAATTTGTATACAATATTGTTTAAATCAATTATTAACCTAGGCGTTCAGCTTTTTGTTTTTGGCAAGATTGTTATAACATACAGTAATATAATATCTAATATAAGATGCAATATAATGCAATGTAAGATACTAATGCATTATATGACCTTGGTTGGTGCGGCTTATCTATGTACTAAATGTTACATATGGTGTAACATATCATTATTCAACGTCCGAAAGTTTTGTCGTTGAACCAAAATTATAGGTAATTTAAAGCATAGGATGTTTAGTGCATTTTAAGTGTTTGAAAACAATTATACTAAACAATCTACTGTATATTAATTTAGTGCATTAAATCAACTTGTTATAGATTATTTTATTCACATAGAAAATATTTTATTCTAATCAATCATTTTGTTTGGCCNAATTTAGTGCATTAAATCAACTTGTTATAGATTATTTTATTCACATAGAAAATATTTTATTCTAATCAATCATTTTGTTTGGCCCAACAGTTAATTTCAATAAATGAATTTAACCAATATTAGTGCATTTTAAGTGTATGAAAACAACGGTATCATAACTATTGTACTAAACAAATGACTGAATATATTTATTGGTATATAAACTTCTTAAAGTAATTGATTTTGTTATAAACTATTTGATTTACTTTAAATAAATTTTATTTGCTTAACATAATGTCCACATCAAAAAATTTCTCAGATAAAGTAGTGCTGATCACCGGTTCGAGCGGTGGTATCGGCGCCGTCACTGCCGTCGAGTTCGCTCGATATGGGGCTCAAGTGGTGATCACCGGTCGTAATGCCGACAACTTGTCAGAAGT